TTGTGAAATAACGTTGTTTTTATATGCACATTCAAATTTATAAATATTGTGTTCAGTCAAATACTTTAACCAAGGACCATTGGTAATGTAGCTATGTCCTAAATTATACTAATTCATAAAGAAATTCGGCATTTTTTTTCCATTTTAATGATATTGCCGAAATTTAATAAACGATTTTATTTTGTTTAAAAGATTATTTATATGGGAGAAAAACTTTATGATTATGTATAATTTAATTTTTGTCAATTTAATTAGGATACATACCTTATTAACCAATAATCCTTTGTTTTCTTCGCAAAATATTGAAAGCAAAAGCTGATTGAGAAAAATATTGAAATTTTTGAAATCACCCCAAAAATGTTTACCTGCAGCAAAATGGCTGTTAATCAATGTTATAGTTGGCAAAAAACAACATTGCTTTCAAAATATATTAATACTTTATAACAATTATAAATTAACAAAAACTTATTTAAGTACATCATTTTTGTATTCCCGAGTAAAAAAACAATTCAAGCGCTGCATAAATTGTGATATATTTTATTCAATTTCAATTTTGTTTTTTGCCCTTGTATTGTTGGTTGGTTGGTTGGACAAAATTTGACAATAAGCATTTCACTTAACCACTGATATTTTTAAATTTCATACTATATGAATATATGATATATTTTATGAATAAAAAGTTTATATATATATATATATATATATATATATATATATACATGCACGGCTATCAATACGAAGCCCGGTGCATTACACTGGCTAGTCGAAGCCCGGTAATGCGGGACGGGGCGGTTAACTGTTCGTTGGTGCATAAACAACAAGAGACACACTCCGCTGTGTATCAGAAGCCCTGCGGTGTTGCCAATGTCTAAATTTATAATTATAAGCAAATTTGATTTTAAATACCTAGACTATATCTAAACTTAACCTATATTTTTAAATAATGACGTAGGTATACTTAAATATTTAATAATATTGTTGAATTATAATTATTATAATACAAATTATTATAATAATAATTATTATTAAATTAATTATAAGTCATTATTTAAAAATATTGTCTAAATTTATAATTATAGGCAAATTTGATTTAAAATACCTAGACGATACTTAAACTTAACAATATTCTTAAATAATGACGTAGGTATACTTAAATATTTAATAATATTGTTGATTTATAATTATTATAATAATAATTATCGTTAAATTATAATTATTTATATTATAATAATTTAAAAGTATTGTTGAATTTAGGTACCTATAGGTATAAACATTTCATTTATTTTGTTTATACATCATAATTTTGAAAAGGTTTAAATATCTTATACAGGGTGCTCTACAAGCTCTATGGCAAACTTTGTCAGATGATAGCTGGGTTAATTATAAACATTTTTTCTTAAATGACATGGATGCGATTCGTTTTTGTTTAAAAGTTAAGCCTTTAAAAATATATTTCCATATGTTAATAAAAAATATACAAATATATTAATAATTATAATTATTATAAGAATTATTGTTGAGGTTAGGTAATTTTGTGTAAAACTTAAATGGGAATCAAAACAAGTAAAACTGACTGAATATTTTTTTCATGAATTATGAAGACATCTAGTTTTTTTTAAATTATTAGATTTAAATACACCAAAAATTCTAAAAAATCTAAATAATGACGTATACTTTAATACACTGCCCACAAAATTATCGCATAATAAATATAAAAAATTAACTCTAAAATGCCTTTACCAATCTTTATGAAATTTTGGATAAAAATACTTCAACTTATATCTCAATTTACGTGTTAGAGGGTTTTTCGAGAAAATATGTTTAAAGCCTTTTTATTTAATAATGAAAAAATGTTCGAAATATAACTTTTAGGGAATTTTTTTAAATAAATAAAAAATATGCTGTTAAAGAGCGTATTTTTTTTAGTACACCCTGAAAATTTTGTACAAATCAAACGAACATTAACGAAGATACAGCCCTTCAAAGTCGGTAAAAATGACGCCTTTTTGATTATTTTGCTGAAAAGTGGTCATTTTTTACGACTTTGAAGCGCTGTATCTTCGTTACTGTTCGCTTGATTTGTACAAAATTTTCAGAGTATACTAAAAAAATACGCTCTTTAAGAGCATATTTTTTATTTATTTAAAAAAATTCCCTAGAAGTGATTTTTCGAACTTATTTTCATTATTAAATAAAAAGGCTTTAAACATATTTTCTCGAAAAACCCTTGAACACCTAAATTGAGATATAAGTTGAAGTATTTTTATCCAAAATTTCATAAAGATTAGTAAAGGCGTTTTAGAGTTAATTTTTTTTATTTATTTTGCAATAATTTTGTAGGGCAGTGTATTTAAAAATAGTGTGATTTATAATTATTTTAATAAAAACTATTTTATTATTGAATGAATTATAAGTCATTATCTAAATTTATAATTATAGGCAAATTTGATTTAAAAGACCTAGACCAGAGTTGAGGAGCATCCGTGGAAAACCGGCTATATCCATTTTAATAAATGTTGGAAAAATTTAGGAAAACTAAACCAAATTAAAAGTTGAAAAATAAAAAAAAAGAAGTGGGGAAAATTGCTATTTAGTTTAGCATCCTATAAACAAGAAAAATGTATTACCAACCAAATATTGTTTTATAGCTACATTATAAAGTTAATGCTGTCTTTTATCCAATAAAAATCGTAGATAAAATATTACTTTAACCAAAACGGTTGATAAAATAATATTGTAATGATAAGTATAAATAAACAATCCTTATCTAAAAGGAACCAAGCGCCAAAAACTATTTTTGGACTTAACAAAATTTTTTGTAATATAACTCATTTTTAATAATGCTCAAAAAGTTTCTCATTATTTAGAACTTCTTTTAAATTATTGAGAGGACTTATAAAATAATGAAATTATAATTAAGTTTTTGAGCAGTATTAAAAATGAGTTAGGTATATACAAATAAGTTTGTTAAGCTCCTAACAAGTTTTTGGTTCCTTTTAGATAAGCACTATCCAAATAAAGAACCCAATTTCTTATTGTTGTTTGGTTGTTTGGTCGTTTGGTCGTTGTTTGCCATGTATAAATAAATTGACCAGTTGTGAATGTTAATTGACAAATTGCCATGAGAAGCTATCTGTCAAAAAGCAGTTTTTGCAATTTAATGTTACATTAAAATGATATTTAATAAAAATAATTTTTAATTTATTTCATACCGCTATTGGAAATTTTTTAAATAAATTAAAAATTATTTTTATTACAATTGGAAATGTTTCAAATAAATTAAAAATTATTTTTATTTTAATTATTTAAATGTAACATTGAATAATAATAATAATAATATATACAAATCCCCTTGTTTCCCCAATTAAAACTATGTAAAATTTCTGGACAACTTGTAAAACCGCCCCAAAGAAAAATGCACTTCAAATAATATTTCAAAAATTAATAATTCTTTAAAATTAAGTGTATTACGAAAGTATTTAACAAAACATTGCCTTTTAATCCACGCCATGTATATACATACAGGGTGTCCAAAATGTGATGGGATAGTATTGCTATCTCGGTAACGATTATAGTTGGAATAGGGCATCAAGAGTTCAAAACTTGCAACTTGCGTAATTACATGCCTTTTAATATGGCATAGAAGATTGCAAAAAAAAATCAGCGGTTCTCAAAATATTAAAAAATATATAAAAATCGGTTAAAACTTATTATCGCTATAACTTTTTTATTTCTAGGAATTTTAAAATACTGAAATGTTTACATTAAAACATACAAAATTACATACATTTTGATCCAATTTGTGTATTTTTACGCCAACTAGATTTTGAGATACGGCTACTATCTTTTGTTTTTCCTATGGCCGCCATATTGGATTTTAGCATCAAAAAATTGAAAAAAAAATTAAAGATTTTAACTTTGTATCATGCATGGTACTTTAGACAAAAATAAACCCATTAAAATCAACTTTTTATTTTTAACACACTAACTGTCAAGTTGTCATAAAAAGAAACAATAAAACAATAAACAACAACAACTATAAAAATATCAAAATCAACAGAGTAGTAAATAATAAAAGACAAAACAACAAATTTACTACAAAAAGTGTTCAAAATGACCACCATTGTTTAATACACATCTGTGTGCTCTCATGGTCAAATTTTTTTGAATATTTTTCAAAACGGTCGGAGTAATTTTATCACACGCCACCCTAATTTTAAGTTTTAAATCATTTACATCACGGGGCGTCGTCTTATAAACATTATCTTTAATAATTCCCCATATGGAAAAATAATAGGGGTTAGGTCTGGAGACCTGGCCGGCCAATTTATTATTATTGCCATTATTACCAATCCAACAATTTGGTTTAAACGTATTTAAAAATTCTGTAACACGCCTATCTCGATGTGCTGGTGCACCATCCTGTTGGAAGTATTTAAAATTGTTTAAGACACTTAGGGGAAGGTCATCCAAGAGGTCCCGTAGGGTATTTCTTAGCATATCCAAATACCTTTCTCCTGTTAAATGCTCCTTAAAAAAGATAGGCCCCACTACACTGGAATCCAATACTCCGAGCCAAACATTTATACCGAACCTCTCCTGAAATGCAGTTTCTCGGTGAAAATGTTCATTTTCTTGGGTCCAGCGATAGTGGATGTTTCTATTAAACCATCCGTTATTACAGAATCTGCTTTCGTCGCTCCACAGAATTTTTTTTAGAATGGTTGCATCTTGTTGCTTTTTTCTTAATAACCACCGACAAAAAATGTTTCTTTTATTATAATCCACTGGCCTCAAATGTTGTACTTTCCTGTAGCGATAAGGTCTGTACTTGTGTCTTTTTAAAATTTTTCTTGCCGACATTTTTTTGACACCTGTTTCTTTTTCGATTTCCCTAAGAGAAACCTCATTTTAATTCACATTTTTAAAATGCACGTAGCCTTAAATAAATTCCACAACGTAAATTTTAAAATTTATTAATTTTATTTATAAAATATTACCCAAGACATTAGTTTCCTCTTCACCTCCTTCTTCTGTTACAGTTGGTTTCCTTTTTTTTGGCTTTTCAAACATTCCAAGTTCGCGCAAATTTTTTTCCAAGCGTGCAAATATTTTTGTGTCAGGTACCTGTTTTTCGGGATACAAGTTAGCGTATGTTTCAGCAGCATTTTTTGCATTTCGAAATGCTCTTGCATAAACAAAAAGCATATCGACTTTTTCTTCATTAGTGTACTTCATTTTTATGCACCTTATAAGGAAATTTTGAGCACCTTAATTGACATTATTAACTTGACAAGCATAAACGTCATTTGGACCTGGACAATTGGATTGTTTCTTTTCATGGCAACTTGATAGTTAATGTAAATAATAATAATAAAAAGTTTATTTTTGGGTAAAGTACCATGTATGATACATGGTTAAAATCTTTGATATTTTTTCAATTTTTTCATGCAAAAATCCAATATGGCCGCCATAGGAAAAAGAAAAGATAGTGGCCATATCTCAGAATCTAGTAGGCGTAAAAATACACAAAATGGGTCAAAACGTATGTAATTGTGTATGTTTTCATGTAAACCTTTCAGTTTTTCCAAATTCCTATAAATAAAAAAATTATAGCGATAATAAGTTTTAACCAATTTTCAGTTTTTTTTCAAATATTTTGAGAACCGCTGATTTTGTGTGCAATCTTCAGATGACATAATAAAAGGCATGTAATTACGCAACTTTTGAACCCTTGATGCCCTATTCCATCTATAACCGTTTCCGAGATAGCAATGCTATCACATCACATTTTGGACACCCTGTATATATATATATATACAAGGTGTCTCTAAACTTAGTGGCATAAATTTAGGAGCAGATTAAGCAAGTCAAAATAAGATGAAAATCTAAATAAATATTTTTCCTAATTACGTATGTTTTAAAGATACAGGGTGATAAAGTGTTACATGTCATATAAGTTTTTTTAAATAACTTCTACCATGGTAAACTTGGAAAGGTGATATTTTGCGAACAGTCACTTACTACCAAAACACATATTCAAACATAATTACAATTGTTCGAGTGAACACAGTGTCGTAGAAACAGGGGTTCCTTAAGCTTATTGTCCCATACAAATTTTGAGGTTAGGTTTTTATACCATTTGATGCAATTTTTCTATTACTCAGTTCGGCTACTATTAAAAAGGTGTACCTCTCAAACTTCGATAAAATAAACCGTTTCCGAGATATTCGAGATTACAATAATTGTTATATCGCATTAAAGGATTAAAAGGTATATGATAACAATTTTTTTAATTGAAAAAACTACAATTTTTTTTAATGTGACGGTCAGGGCAAAAACTCCCGAGGCTCAAGGAATGCCCTTTTTAGTTTTTTCATTTAAAAAATAAAAGTTGTTATTATTTACCTTTTAATCCTTTTAAATAATGCGATATAACAATTATTGTAATCTCGAATATCTCGGAAACGGTTTATTTTATCGAAGTTTGAGAGGTACACCTTTTTAATGGTAGCCGAACTGTGTAATCGAAAAATTGCATCAAATGTTATAAAAACCTAACCTCAAAGTTTGTATGGGACAATAAGCTTAAAGCAACCCCTGTTCCTACGACACTGTGTTCACTCAAACAATTGTAATTATGTGTGAATATGTGTTTTGGTAGTAAGTGACTGTTCGTAAAATATCACCTTTCCAAGACCAACATAGTAGAAGTTATATTAAAAAAACTGATATAATAAGTAACACTTTATCACCCTGTATCTTGGAAACATAAGTAATTAGGAAACATATTTATTTAGGTTTTCGTCTTATTTTGACTTGCTCAATCTTTTTCTAAATTTATGCCAATAAGTTTAGGGACACCTTGTATATATATACAGGGTGTCCGGAAAAAGGAGGTCAATCCTTTAACCATATATTCCTTGAGTTAAAACAATAAGACTTTCATAATACCATTTTTCAATTTAGAGCTTCATGTTCGATATACAGGGCGACAAAGTTTGAAATTTAAAACAGTTTTTTTTTAATAATTCGAGTAATTAATAAGGTATTAAGTTAAAATTCGGTACACTACTTCAACATAAATAGTTACACCTTTTGAGATCAACAAAACAAAAAACAATTGTCAAATAATCAAAATAAGGGGGGTCCAGTACTCAATGACCCCCCCTATTTTTTAGTACGGGCGCCAGTGACTTCCAAACGGTATTTTTTCAGGTAATCATTTAGTGTTGAACATGTTTTGTCTCTTATAAAATTTTGATAAAATGATTTGTTTTAGAGATAATTTGTAAAGTATTGGTCCTTGATTGATGCTCACGCGGCTTATGGCAATCTTATAATTTTCAAATGTAGTACTGGACCACCCTATTCTGATTATTTGACAATTGTTTTTTGTTTTGTTGTCCTCAAAGATGTAACAATTGTCAAATAATCAAAATAGGGGGGTCCAGTACTACATTTGAAAATTATGAGATTGCCATAAGCCGCGTGGGCATCAATCAAGGACCAATACTTTACAAATTATCTCTTAAACAAATCATTTCATCCAAATTTTATAAGAGACAAAAAATGTTCAACACTAAATGATTACCTGAAAAAATACTGTTTGGAAGTCACTGGCGCCCGTACTAAAAAATAGGGGGGGTCATTGAGTACTGGACCCCCCCTATTTTGATTATTTGACAATTGTTTTTTGTTTTGTTGATCTCAAAAGATGTAACTATTTATGTTGAAGTAGTGTACCGAATTTGAACTTTATACCTTATTAATTACTCGAATTATTTAAAAAAATCTGTTTTAAATTTCAAACTTTGTCGCCCTGTATATCGAACATGAAGCTCTAAATTGAAAAATGGTATTATGAAAGTCTTATTGTTTTAACTCAAGGAACATATGGTTAAAGGATTGACCTCCTTTTTCCGGACACCCTGTATATATATATATATATATATATATATATATATATATGCAAAACGGCTAATACACATCCGAAATAGATACTTTTGTGAAGAAAGCGCCTCCGAAATCGGAGCCGCATTCGAAAAATAGGAGGCCAAATGGTAAGCACGTGTATGGGTATGGGTAGTCAAGGTCATTTTAGGACGTGTGGCAAATTTTAGCCAGGAGGTCAATTCCACTTGGATACACCTACAGTTACACAATCCGATGAGGGCGCCACTGTTATATACAGATGTATACAAAAATAAGTATACCAGTTGATATACCTCCGAATATTTTCTATTTAACTAGTCTCCGAAATTTGGCAACAGTGTACGGAGGCCATTTAATGCCACGAGTATGTATTTCTGTAAATGTACTTTATTCAGAGAAATCTTATATTTTTAATACGTTAATGAAAGAATGATATAGGAATATGGTATAACTGGACTCCTGAATAAAGGTATTATTAAGAATAATAGACGTATCTATGGGTAATACAAAGTGTAAGTCATAGAAAAAGTGTAAGTGTGGTCATCAATGTAATGTAGACATGAATTAAATATTTAATAACAGATGGTAAAAAGTAATCTACTAATTGCAGGTTAATTATAATTTTGTTTTTAGGCTTAGCGCGGTTGATTAGCACTGTCGTTTTTAGGAAAATAATATAAATAGTATTTTAAAAAAAGAATTGAACCTTAACCTCGCCAGAGTTTTTATTTTGAGTGCGTTCCACTTGTGAATAATACCAGTGGATTTAAAGAAACTAAGAAAATTGAATGTTTAGTTAATTTTAACATTAGTAATTATAGTTATATAGTTTATTATAAGGTATAAAAATTAATACCTGTAGAAATATTTTATTATAAAATTTTTATAATAAACGGTTTATTAGATACTAAGAAATGTTAGCAGATATGGTGTTCATAAATACTATACAGAAGTTTTAAAAATATAGGTACCTATTTATAATAATAAATTAAACTGAATTTGACAAAACATTAAGTGTATATATAAAATATATAAAAATTATACTTAACTATTATTTTTTTAACATTTAACATAGATAAATAATGACTGCGTTTATTTATAAAATAATTATTAAAAATTATAATTAAAAAACACATTTATAAAAAAAAATTAAAAATTACAGACTAATACTAAAATTAAAGAACAGCTAGGTAAAAATAGTACCCATTGATAATGAGATAATGCCGCGTCTCTACTAACAAAACAAAATTATAAAAAATACATATTTTCTTAGATTTTGTAATAAGGATTCTATAAAATGTCTTTATTAGGCTCCGCAAAACTAAGCTTAGAATTTATTTTTAAAGAGATTACAATTTCCAATCCCTGCTGAAAATGACGGATGATTGCGGGTATAAATTCTTCGTCAAAACCGTATAAAAGAAGATGATTGCGGGTATAAATTCTTTGTCGAAGCCGGATAAAAGCGGGTAAAAATATCATCGGATAACATATGCTTTTGTCCGCATCGCTATATCCGCGAACACCCGGTTGGTTGTATTTTATGTCCGGTTAGTGCACCCCTGCAATCATCTGCAATCATCTGTTTTTAACCGTCTTCACTGTGTTTCGTTTATATCTGAATTTGTCCGGAATCATCTGCAAACGTCTGCTTACGTCTGGGTTTATCCGCGAGTATATGCTTTTACCCGCAAACGTCTGCCTAGTCCAATTTCACCCGCCAACATATGCTTTTATCCGCCAACATCTGCTTTTATCCGCGACCATCCGCGAACATCTGCAATCACCCGCGAACATCTGCTTTTACCCGCGAACGTCTCCTTTCATACGGTTTCACCCGCAAACATGCTTTTATCTGAGAACGCCTGATATCATCCGGTTAGTGCACCCCCGCATTCACCCGCAAACATCTGATTTTATCCGCGAACATCTGTAATAATCCGCGAATATCTGCTTTCATCCGCGAACATCTGCTTTTATCCGCAAACATCTCATTTTATCCGCGAACATCTGCTTTTATCTGAAAAAATCTGATTTTATACGCAAACATCTGCTTTTATCCGCAAATATCTGCTTTTATCCGCAAACATCTGCATTTATCCGCAAATATCGAAACTCGAGCCTTCTTGATCACGAAAACAGGAGACAAAAACCTTATCAAAAATGATCAAAAAGGATCGAGATTTAAACTCGATCCATTTTCGATCAGTTTTTTTCAGCAGGGTTATTCAAATAATTCCTTTTAGAGTTATAAAGTTGTGTGCCGTGAACGGCTAACAACCAGACAAAAAGCGCAAATGAAA